GCCTCAACCACGCACCGTCTTCGTAAACACCCAGCATCGATTCTGCCTCGAATTCAACTACTCCCATTCATTAGCGCATCTAATGCCGCGAGAATTTCGATTAATCCTGTGAAATCCGTGGATGCTTGTGCATTCAGTGCAAACAAATGCGATTTTTTTTTCAAACACGGCTAAAATAACATTCCGGTAATTTGTTCGTAAAATATGGAAACAAAAACTGAACGAAAAAATTCAACTTTGAGAAACTGATAATTTTTGTAACGGATAACATTTCTCGAAAAAGGTTTTCGAGAATTTTTCCATTTACTCGAAATTACTAGATCGAACATATTTCAATTGAACAATTAATTAGGTTCTTCTGGTACCTAGCTAAAGTTACTTTTCATGCAGCAGCACGTGTCTCTCTCGCAAAAATTTCACCATTTAACACGTTTGAGATTTTCCGTCTTCAATTTCATTTCGACCGCTATGAAAAATGCACTTTGCCATCCGACACGCTTTTGAAACGTTATTTCACAACGAGCACTATGCTCCGTCGCATTACCGAGACCGCCGCGGGCGCGCGAGGTGGATCCTAGGATTTTATCGGGAATCTTTTTTGCCTCTCCTCGCTTCGCAACGTAGTAGCGCCGTAGTAGTGACAAACGGCCAGAATGACGATTACGAGAAAATGAGGTCACAGTCAGACACAATCTCTCCATTTACGCGGTAGGAGTAATTACACCAAATAAAGCAGTAATCGGGAACTGGATACACTATTCTCAAAATGTTATCACAAAAGATATCAAATAGATCCTTTCTCGGTCATAATATTGTATAGATAAAAAAAACTATCCACATATGACATACATATGTGTTCCTATTTAACATTGTAAGTCCAAGTATGTAAAAAGTGGTTTCAGTATACATGCGATTAGTTTATACTGCAGTACGATATGTTATTTTTACACAGAAAACTTCACACACACACACACACACACACACACACACACACACACACACACACACACACACACACACATTGAAAATTAACAGCTGATTTTAATCTTTATGTAGACAGGTGTGCGGGTGCTCAGAACAGTATATAAATATAAATTTTTACAATTATATTTTTTAATGGTACATATAAAATTAAAATTACATTATTTATACCTTTATGAATTAATAAAATGTAAAAATAATGAACTCTTTAAGACTTCTGAGTAATATTTTTTTATTTTCCTATTTCAGAACAAGATTTTCAAGATAACTATGCGTGGAATGCTGTGACCAGACTATTTCAACATTACAAAAAAAGACTTAAGAAATTATCGTAAAATAATCAAATAAGACAAAATAAACGCCTTTCCCGCGATATATAGCGATTTCATGCGGGGAACCGGCAGCACAGCAGCTTTCGTCGCGACGGAAACAGGGCATACGGTTGCTCCTTTGATTAATGCTTCCTCGGGGATGAAGCGAAGGGGTTAGAGAGATAGCGGTAGTGGTATCCTGAGCCACGACTAATCCTCTCTTGGCGTGCACATGTAGGTACGAAGCTCGACGGCAGTTCTAAGAACCTAAGCGTGGACACGAGCGAAAACTCATTTCCGGATGCGTTCCCCTGCTTCTTCCTCCCACCTCTATCTCTCTTTTCGTCTTCGACGGTCTCCCCGTGAATTATATGCATACGACCGGATACGATGTTGCGTTCGTGTTCTCGATCATATTATTCTGCACTAGGGACACGTGTTCGCGATAGTGACAAATTCAATAAGTACGTAAAGGTGAGCATTTTAATATATAAAACATTTACTATAATTTTTTCTTACTGATATAAAAAAATTAATAAATTATTAAGTAAATAAGTAAAAAGAGATTAATTGTGCAAATATCAACCACGAAAAAAATCGATTGGCCACAGCATCATAAAAATATTTTATTTTAGTATTTAAATTTTCTTGGAATATTAATGATAAATATTTTTACGTAACACAATCCATATTTTGTGATGATTAGGTAAAAAGTGGAATGTAAATAGAATTCTTCATATTCTAACAATGACACAATGTTGTCATTTTATAACATCATTATATTGTAATAACAATTTCGTAATTTCATTAAAATTACTTTCTATTTATCATGACTTTAAGTTAACTCACGGCTGCGGGGAAATGCAGCTGATGACCGGATCTGTCCAGCGTCTCAACTTCAAACAAACTTCCTAGCACTCTTGGGACCGAAGGGATTGCCCGTGTAAACGACGCATCGTTAGTACATCCAGAAAGAACGAAGGATAATACGAAAGCGTGGAAAGCGTTGGAAGGAGACGCAGAGAAAACTGGAGGCAAGATGTTAGTCGCCCGTGATTCCTTGATTTCCACCAGTAGCTTGGCGGCGACAATTGGCCGCGACAACTACACGGTTGCCCGAGAAGTAATTTTAACAGTGGCGGTCTGAAGTCATCAGAACGCGGCGAAGAACCATTGGGAAATACGTTCTTCGATAGTTGAAAGAGCAAATAGACGAAGAAAATATTTTATAGTTTTGTTAGAGTTATATATCCTTTATCCTTCTTCAATTGAAAACATTATATCTAAAAAAATATTGCTTAATAAAGTAATTTATTATATATTATTAGTGTATCTATTTATTTCGTAGATAAATTACTTTCTTCTTCCACCCGCATATACAGAAGGTGAGTCATGCAATACGAGAACGGTAACTTCATAAGAAATCAGGCATCATTAAATCGTTTAGTTTTTTCCCCTCGCTACTTTTTCCTATCATCAACCGTGAAGGAGATATAATTCGTTCGAATTACGCGACTCATCCCGTATAATAGATCACTTTTCTCAACTTTCTTTATGACGTTATGATCTTTTAAATAAATAATTAATGCAAATCAACGAATACAATTGCGCGAGAAAGAAAAAAATATTAGGGATACAGCGCCATGGCCGGCTGATAAATTCGCGTAGAAACGCTCTAATCGGTATGAAGAAAAAAAAAAATATGAAAGAGAAGAAAATAACAGAACTCTCTGGAAAAAAGTAGAACAAGGTAAAGAGAACCGAAGAGAAGGTAAGTGAGGCGGCCGAAGAAGGTAAGGGAGCAGCTGAGAAAAATAATCCAATTTAGTCAGTGCGCGCACGACGACCCGGCTAACTGTTCGCCTGTTTTCACGGTTTTTAATTATACACCCGCCTCTTCTCCGTCGACACCCCCTTCTGCCCTGGAGTCCGCGTTCGTGCCTCTGCACTGGAGAGAAGCTCGCGCACTTTTTTGTCGTCGTGATTCAGGACAGAGAAACACACTTTCATGGAACTTCACTTTGGATAGACGTTAAGCAAAATAGACGATCGCCCGACTTAACAGACGGAAGAACTCTCGCGGGTTATACGGCAGGTTCTTGACCGGCAGGAAGTCGGGGTCCTTTTTTCCGCCTTTGCGGCGAACGAGGGTAATCCGATTTCGATGGAAACTTCCGCGACGCATGATTGCATTTGGGACGCTCGCTCCCGCTCGAAGAGAGAAGGCCGACATAGACGGCACGCGAGACTATCGAGCATTCTATCCTCTCCTCTATCTATCCCTCTTTTTTTTTTACGGCGAATTCGACGGTTAAGTGGAAGTTAGCATCGACGCTCTCCCATCCTTTATCGCGCGGCTCGAACTCGATTCTAACTCGGCCCTTTTATTACTCTTACGTTTACTTTCCAGCGATATAACGCGCGCGCTCTCTTTATTCTACCACCCTTTGCCCTTCTCTCTCGCTCCTGATCGCCGAGAGTGTCGGCCGTTTTATCGGCTTTCGACGTCGCTGCAATTAGCATTTTAATTCTCAGCTAAACGCGCCTCCCACCGTAACTTTTTCGACGCTGAGTCTCTCTGTAGTTAAGTGTGCACTGACCAACGAATAATATTCAATGCAACAGCACGCACCTGCGTTACCGATGCGTTGACTCTTTCTTCTAGTTTTTACCCGAAGGAGAATAATTTCAAACGACAATGTCGATTTTCGTGAAATTACAGAGCACTTCTGCTTCCAACAATTTATAACTTAACATCTCGTTTTAATCTTTCGAAGCTGACACCAAAATCTGTAACACAGTTACAGACACTAGTCTGTAAGACCTATTTAATTTAAATTAATATTAATTAAAACGTACTAATTAATTTCAAGAAATCAAGATGACGTAATTCGTATAAAAAGGAAGTGAATACTATGTGTAATCGGTTGTCCTGAAATTCGCGAATAAAGTATATCCTAGTAAGAAAATTTTCAAAGACTAAGTAAGAAAATTATTGAATTTTTATTTTAAATAATAGTTTGTGAAATAATACGGCTAAGTATGGACTACGTTTAGATGGATTATGTTTAAATATCAAAATGCACGTTTACTACTGCATTCGCGATTCATGGATAAGTAGTCGTCTAAATATTTGTAATCTGCAATTATATTTAAACCTTTATATCGCAAAAACTATTACTTGAAATAAAAATGTGCACATAACATTTTCACTTAATTTTTCAAAAAATTTCTAACTGTGTGGTATTTTAATTCGCAAATTTCGAAACAGCCTGTTTATTTCGAGAAAACAATACAGTTTTCCAAAAGACATTCTAAAGACGCTCAGGAATGTTCAATGTCCTTAAGCATGTTCTAAGGATGTTCCTTTGAGAACTATGTTGTAGGATATATTTTAATAAAAATAATTTAAATTTACAGATCTAACATAAAGAAAATTAAATTATTTGATATTATTTTACAAAGAGATTTATAATTGAATGGACTCAATAGCTATATCGTCAGCTTCGGAGGATTAAATAAAAATCCGCTTTCTAATTTATAAAATATAGAATAAAATTTTAAATTGAAAAGAGATCTGATCAGACCGTAAAAATGGAATGTAAAATATCGAGTTCGATCGAACTGCCGATCGATTCGAGCACATCGGGGCGTCGCGTCGCAAGAAAGCGGCGGCCGGATGGTGTCAATGCTGGTAATGGTACTCACATGTCCTAGCTTCTCCTCCTTCCGCCTCTTGGGGTCGCTCTCGAGGTCGGGTGTGCGGCTGCGAAATTTCTCAGGTGGAGAGACCGAGCGATGGCCGAGCCTCTCGTCCGGTAGGGCGATCGGCTTACGGTCCTCGGGTGTCTCCGCGGCCGCGCGATGCTGTTGTAGATCGGCGGGTTTCAGCAGCGCTTGCGCCTGTGCTTGGACCGCAGCCGCGGCCGCGGGATGCGGCGGCGGCGCCAAGTGCGGCGGCACACCCGCGGCTGCGGCCGCC